TCCGCCACTCCCTTCTTAATATTTCTTTCCTCTCTTCCTCCCTTTTTTCCTCCACCTCCTTTGTTTCCAGCATGTCCCCCCCCCCATTCCCTTCCTCCCCTCTCCCTCCTTCTCTTCCTTCTGTAGGTAGATGGAGGCCTGGCCCATGTCTCAGCTCCTCGAGACTATCAAATAAAAAGTGCCAACTCCATTTGGCACGGGCATCAAATAATCTTGTTTTAAAAAAGGAAAGAGGAAGTGAGCGCCAGACGAGGAGGGAGCACTGGAGCCTCTGGGCCCGTGGCTGTAACCGACGTCTTCTAACTCGACTCTGTTGGGCCTTTTCTCGTCCCAGGGCTCAGAGTTGGCCCCTTTCTGGGCCTTGGGGCTTGGTGAACCCAGAGAGTATGCTCCTCCTGCTAAGGGTCTCCATGGTGCTATCTGGTACCTCATATTACCAAGATTTTTGTTATTTTATTTTTGACTTATTTGGTTTTATTTTGAAAAAAACAATTTAAACAAAGTGAATCTCTGAGGCCAAAAATCCTAAAAATGCCAGCCGAGCCTTACATCTATTCCAGGGCACCAGAGGCAGCCCAGTTGAAACCGTTATCTAGATAGACAAAAACCAAATTCCCTGCCATCCAGCAAGAGGCCTCTGTCTGCTCTCCAGCCTCAAAGTCTACAATCCAGCACAGTACACATTTGAGATAAGCGCTGCTGTAGACACGGCCTTGGAGCTGGCTACACCATGTACCAGCTAAGGCCCTTCCTCCAGAAGGAAACACAACAGACACTGTGCAAAATCACTTGATTCTGGACAAAAATCAATATCGAAATTAGGTTTATTGTCTGCTTATATGATTAAAAATGACAAAGTGTTGTCTTTTATTTTCATAAAAAGACAGAAGGCTGAACAAAATAATTTACTATTGAGTTCTGCTCGTTTCATTTGCCTGGCAAACCTGGAGGGGGCCAAAAGGGCGGTTGGAAAGCGTAGTGGCCAGTCAGGAGCCTCCCTTCCCCCAAACTGCCCCCAGTGCAGGGGTGAGCTTGCCCTGCGGAGGAGACGTGTGCTGCTGTGCGTCAGAACACGTTTCCTCACCCCCGGTCTGCAGCCAAGCCGGGCCAGCTGGGTAGTTCTCAGTTTACCACTTCCAAAGAAATGCTTGCGATCTGTCCCTAGCCCCTTCTTTAACTTACACCCAGGTCACAGGTCTTGTTCCCCCCAATAATTCTGAGGATGAAGCTGCTTTAGTGGTTTCACAACTCTGGCTGGGCCAGAGCCCTCCTGGCTCGCTCAGGCGTGGGCTCCCAGACCCCCACCCAGCCACCCTGGATCTTCCACCCCAGGAAGCGCTGCCTCCATTCGTGTGTCGCGGTGCTTGACGGGGGTCAAAGGGTTCTGAAACCTCCGTGGGCTGGATTCTTGCGATGGTCGGTGAGCCACGTTCAGGGGATAAGTGTGCATTTTGGGGTATGCAGTTGGTTACAGCAGCGTGGGTGTGGGGGGGATTATTCTGTCTATGTTAAAGATAAAAAAGAGAACAACAACAACAAAAAACATCCACCATGTGAATCTCTTCATAAACTCCCCTTCCCTACCCCACAAAGGTGAGTTAGAATCTATCTTCATCTTTCCACTGCTGCTCCTCCGTGAGATCTTAGTGCGCGCAGATAACTGTTCACTGCCTTGTTCTAGAACAAAGTGGTTTCCAAATGCTCGCGGGTTCGCGGAGCTTGGCTCCAGAGAGGGTGCGGAAAAACTTCACTCACCCTTAAAAGCCCCTTAAAGGAAAATAGCTAACAAGCTATGTCCTTTGGAGCCCCTACATGCGCTCCCGCCTTTGGAACCGGCTTAGATTTGCCCATGCACACGCCACGGACTCATTGCACAAGTCGTTAATGGGTCCCCTTTCCATTCTGGACGACTCTCCTGGTGGTTGCGAAATGAATCCAAACGAACCATCTCTCCACGGAGTTCCTGGGGCATGGCTCGTCCTGGCCTTCTCCCGGGGGGCTCGTCCTGGCCTTCTCTCGGGGCGGAGGGCTTAGGAGAAGCAGACGTGGGTGCCTTATTACTTGAGAGTCTGACAGGCCGCGACGCCAGGCTCACAGTGGTCCAGCGCCACCAGCTCAGCCGTCCACTGTCGGCTCGACGTCTCTCTCTTCGCCTTTGTCGTGCGGGCTAGCGCACTATCGGTGCAACTTTCCCGGAGGCCGAAGGGAGGCGGCGAGGGCTCGTGGTTCCTGAGGAGCAGGCATGAGGAGGTCTTCTTGAGAGAAGGAAGGCGGGCAGTGGGCTGGGGCCTTAGGTGGCCCCTCTTCTCGGGGAGGGGGCAGCTGGGGCTGCTTTCTGCTCCAAGGCAGATTCAGCCAGCAGTTTCTGGGGGAACAAACCCGGCCTCTCCTTTCCTTTCTGGTCCCTCGCTGCAGCCTCTATTCCCCTCCTCCCGCCTTTACCAACTTTCGCCCCAAGGAGCCAGCCCCAGGGTAAAAGGTGAGATGTTCCCTAGTCCCAGGCTTCCCGCCCCGTCCCTCCATGGGCGCCGGAGTCGCCCAGCCTCTTATTTCGCGATAGACGCCCACGGCCAACCAAAGAGAACACAACTGCTCCTCTCAGAGTTCCCTCCTTCTCTACGCAGACCTTCCCGAAGACACGGGGTCTTGCGGGCCGGAAGGTGGGGGGGCAGGTTAATTTAGGAAACTGTGTTGAGACTAAAACTCACTGGTGCTTATTTGAGGGTTTTTTTTTGGGGGGGGGCGTTTAATGATTCCTATAAGTATCCAAATTGGTATGGTTATCATTTCTGTTGAGGAAACCCTGGCCAGAGCTGGAAAGAAGTTGCCAGGAAGGATCTAGAAGAGACAAATAAAGCCCAACCCTCCAAGTAGGCCGATCTCTTCCAAAGGGGCCGACCTTCCTCGTGAGTGGGGGCAAGGCAGTCAGAGTAAAAAGCAGATTTCTATGCATGTCCACGTGGCCCAATGTAATGAACACATCTCCATCAATTCCTGGAGGCAGAGGGCTCCATTTATTTTGGCTTTAGCTGGGAACATCCTCAGCCTCAGCTCTGACTACAGAACAGCCGAATAGTTAGAATTCTCTCTCCAGCGAATGTGATGGTCAATAGAATTCTTGGTATCAAATGAGCGATAATTTGCTGTGGCTACATGCTGGATAATGAAAGATGTTAGTGGGATCAATAAAAAATGAAAACACTTTTACTTACATCTGAGTTACAGTTTTAAGAACGAGAGGGATGCAACGGACCCAAAGCTGGACCCGGAGCCTCTCCATGCTCTCCTCGGACCCAGAAAGCTCTGCACCTGCAGGCCAGCTTCTCGCTGCCAGGGCCTCTACCCTTCTTCCTCCCTGCTCTAAGGGGAGTAGGTTATTTCATCAAAATTAACCCCTTAGAAACCAGAGATAATTTAACTAAGAGGATTTAAAATTTGTTTCTTTTCTTTCCCTACAGCCAGAAATATATTTGAAATATTTTTTCATTAGAACTAAAGGTCACCTAACTGGTCATTGTCTACCAAAAAAGGAGGAAAGCATCCCAAAGCTGAATTTGAAATGCCTCTAAATATGTACTGGACCAAGACACTCAGAAAGGCCTGTGTTTGCAGATTGTGTGTGCACAGTCAAAGGAATAGATTTAATTCATTTTGATGTGTCATATTTGGTTATTACATTAAAAATTCAGGCCTTAAACTTGCTCTTTCCGGATTAATTAAATCCATCTTCTTTCATAATCACTTCATCTGTTGGATTTGTTTTCAATTTTCATTGGGTTTATTTGTACCTTCCTGTCGGCTTTTGTCATCATTCAATTCCAAACCCTCCCCATTCTGATCTGGTCCCTAAAAAACCTACTGTAAAACGACTGAAGAATCATTTTATAGGTAAATTATAGGATACCAAGACTTAAAGAAACGAGAAGCTATCCCCAGTTCTCTGCATAGAACCGTGGCAGTGTTTTATGAAATAAAACGCTAACGGCCAGAGCTGTTAACGGCCAGACAGCTTCCAGCACCCGAACCAAATAAGCAAAGGACACTGGGAAATGTGTTTGGCTGCTTGTGCAGGTTTAAGAAGCCTACATTTTCTCACCACTTAACAAAACAAAAACACTACAAAACAAAAAGACACGAATTTAGCCGCCGCTTTATGTCATCTGACCAGTCCTGCCACCAAGATAACGGTCAGTGCTGCAAGGACAGCGGACTGTGATCGTCTTTGGCATGTTTGGGCTGGGTTCGGAGAGACAGCCCAGCAACCTGGGAGGTTTAGAAAGCCGGAACCAGCCTGGGAAAACGTAGACGAGTCCCAGTTGAGAGATTTCCCCGGGCGAATGAATCTGTCTGGCTCCATTTTTACAATGCGCTGGAACACAGGTGCTGGTCCACCGCGAACGAAACCTGTCCACGCGCTCTGGCATCCGCCGGCCGGCGTGGCGCACGCGGATATGTACACCCTGTTCGGGAGGCCTTTCCCCCTGCCCTCATTTGCTACTTTAAACTCGTCACGAGGACCTGTTAGTGGCCTTGGCCGGGAGGGCAGGCTGGGAGGGGGCGCCCCCACTTGGCTCTGCTGTGACGCGGCCGCTGCCCTTTGCCCTCCGTTTCCCACCCCGTGTGCGTGGCCGCCAGCTCAGCAGCGGACCAGCGTGGCCGGGCCCGCGGAGCCCCTTCCCTGGCTAACGACCCCCGCGCTGCGCCCCACCCCGCCCCCGCCTGCGCCTGTGAGGCTGGCTTACCCTAGTGGGCGAGTCGCAGCGCATTAGCGGATTTCATGGCAAGTTGCTTCCGTGACAAGCGGACGGGTTCCCGTTTGAGGATTTGCCCCTAGGAGGGAGGGAAAGGAGAGTCAATCTGCATAATTTCAAATGAGACAGAAACCATACACGGGGACCCTAATTTCAAGCCCCCTAACACCCCCTTCCCCTAACGTGTAGCGCCCCCCCCCCCACGCGCAAGGCACAGTAAAAGTAATCCGCACACGTCGCAGGTGATACCTTTTATTGCGCTCATTTTAAAGACAGACAGGATGGCCCCCTCCACGAAGCCTTTCTCGGTAGCTCGGCCCGGGGCAGGTGGGTCAGCCAGGCCGCTCCTGAGCCCGCGGATTCCTGCAGGGTCGCGAGGTGAGGGTTGCGTGGAAGAAAGATCTCGGGCTCTTTGCCAAGCGGCCCCCTTCGGCGCCCAGGGTCTGAGCTAGACGCACACACCCACGTTCCCTCTAGCGCCTTCGGCTCCATCTTTAAGTCCAAGCAAAGATCAATTCTCCCTCTCTCTTGCTCAAACACATTTGCAGCCATAAATAAACAGCTCCCAGCTAAATCAGGAACGAGAGAAGAAAAAGAGAGAAGAAAGGAGGAAAGAGAAGGATGAGAACCGGAGCACGGGTCTCGCTTCTCCCGGGAGCCGAATGGCTCTTTTTGGTTAGGCCAGCCTTGCATTTGGGGTTGCAACTTGCATTTGAATAGCTGCCTGGGCTTGTTATGGACCCGGGAAAGCTCTGAAAGGGAATCACTATGCAAATTGTCCCAGTTACAATCGAAAGGTTCGATCTCTGGGAGCTGCCTGACGGAAGTTGATGTCAGCTATCTGTGCATTAGGGTTGCATTACCGTCCTCGCCGCCCTCCTCGCCGCCCCCCGCTCGCTCGCGCCTGCCGGGGAGGCTTTTTTCCCCCTTTTTTTCTTTCTTTTGCTTATGTGTATATTTTCCCTCAGTAATTAAAAAAGTGGGGGGGAAAAAGGCTGAAGGTGGCGGCGTAGCTGACTCGGGCCTGGAAGGCCGAGGGGAGGAGGGGGGAGGTACAGCCCTTCGGCCGGGGGTGGGGGCGTCATTCTTTGCAGCAGGTGTTCATGGTGTGTCTGAAATCAGACATTTAGAAACGGTTTTTTAGCGTTTTTGCAGGACAAGGCGGCGGCGAAGGGTGGGGGCGGCGATGTCAGCCCCCGCCCGCCTGCTTGATCCTACAATGCCCGCTGCGGATCAATACCCGCTCGCTGTCATCCCAGTAATTGTAGGGCTCGCGGCTTTTATTTTAAAGAATGGGACGCGGTGCGCGGGCGGGCGGCCGAGGCAGCGAAGCCGGGCCGCGACGTCTCCGAGCGCGGTTTGGGGCGCCTGCCTTTCACCCCCGAGCCCTGACAGCGGCCCCAGCGGGGTGGCTGTGCGATCCCAGGGCGCGGGCCTCAGCCGCGGGGGGCCCGACCCGGGGCCCCGCGCGGCTGCTGGGGACTCCGCCGGGGACGGAGCTCCGGCCTCTCGGCGGCCCCGGGCAGGCGGCGTGCGGCGGGCGCGCCACGCCCGGGGCCGGGCACTCGGCCTCGGACGGCGGCCTGCCGGCCGTGGGCCTCGCGGGCTTCAGCTGTCGACGCTCGGGGCCGCCCAGGCTCGGGGTTCCTCTGGCAGCGCCGGGCTGCGCGTTTGGCCGAGGCCCGCGGAGCCCGCCACGCCCGCGGGCCGGGCGCGTCCCGGCGGCCGCCCGCTGCCTCTGCCGCCCGCCCCTCGCTGGCAGAGTCGGGCCGGGACCGCTGGGGCCTGGGGCCGCGGCCCCCGCGCGGCGGGCGGCCTGCAGCTTCTGGCGCCCCTGAAGATGACCATCTGTCATTCAATTAAGGTTTCAGGGCGGCTGAAGGGGGAGCCAGGGTCAGCGACCCCAGGACAAAACGGCCTGCTGCCTCGGATAGGAGAAGTTCAAATGTTAAATGCAGAACATCGAGCCCTCTCCCAGGCCCGGCCCCCACCCGGCCGCAGGTCTGGCCGGTGGACAGCCGTGGGGTGAAGGGCAGCGGTCATTAGCACTTAGATTTCAGCTCTGGGCCGGGCTCCTTCTGTTGGGTCATTTTGACCGGAGAACCTTTAACCCTTTCAAGCCAGCCTTCCCCTTAGGGAAGACCAGCTTTTCCGAAGGTGGAAAGATAGAGGAAGATCAGATGTACCCATGTAAAGAGGGATCAAACTGTATTTCCGGGCCCTTCTCCATAGAAGAAAACTTACAAGAGAGGAGAGAACCGCTCATTACAGCCCAAACAAACTAAAAGGTCTTTTAAAAGTTTTATTTTTTAAAAATTTTTAGTTTTGGGGAAGAACTATATTACTAAATATGATCATGAAACTGACTAATGAACCAATGTAGTAGAAGTGAGTTTGTAAAAAAGTCCAGATTTTCCTCCCACAATTAAGTGTGTTTGCCCAAATGCGCCCCAGTGGTGATGAGCATCCAGCTGTAGACACCTCCATTTAAAGTGCTGGTGAGGAAAAGGCTCCCTTGCAGCCAGAAACATGTGCACTTGAACATGGGTTGGACAGTTGGTCTTCCCCTTCTGGGATTTTTCCATAGTAAAATGGGGTAAAAATAACTTTAACCAATGGAATTCATAAAATACATTTATTGAGTATCTACAGGTTGTGGACGTTTAGATGGTAACATCCTTGGCTTTCCTACACTAGACAGAGGGAGAAGCAGCCACAGTCCTAACAGTTTTTGGTAGAAGATCCTACTATTCCTGTGAATCGTAACCATGAAGCTTGGAAACAACTCTAGTAGTAAAGATATATTTCATGTCTTAGAGAACTGGGTCCTTCAACAGGCTAGTTAGTAAGAGAAGAAGGACCCACGGCTTCTGGCTTCCAGCCCCAATTCTCAACATTAAACCTAGTCCCTATTTTTTGGAAGTAACTATCAAATCAATGAATCAATCCGACATTCCGCATTGAAGCACCTTAGCAAATTCTTCACTGGATAACAATGAATAATGCATGGCCCTCCAGTATATTGACTGTGGTAAATGATCTTTAAAGTAAGGTGCTGCAACAAGTACCTTTAAATAAAATCAAAATAAAAGTTTACCACAATCATAATAAATTGTTCAGTCATCTTCCTATTGACTCACATAGCATCTTTCAGAGGCATTTGGAGTTATTTTTCCCCCTTACAAACAGACCAGAACAAATTGATGAATTGAGCTTTCACTATGCTAATTTAGACATTATAAATATTTAATTAACATCCCTAATAGCCAGTCATAGAAAGCCCCTCTCTACTTTACACTGTTCTTAATCTAAAGTAAATGCTTTTCCCATTAATAGCCTGATGCCATATTAGCAGCTTCCTCCATAAAAGGGCCCCATTTAGTTCAAAAGGAGGGGGTACTGAGTAGTCTGCATTTGATAGGATCCTGGGAACAGCATGGAGCCTCTACAAATTCTCCCTTTTCCAGTTCTTGCTCAAGTGAGGCTATTCTAAGAATAGGGGCAACCTCTTAGTTTCATTTTTCTAGACAGGGTAATTTTGGGGGGTTGTACTAGAATACATGTATTTATTTTAGTAAAGACTGCATTAAAAAGTGATCCATAGATAAGGGGTTACAAATTTCCAGCCATGAATTATACTAGTCTTTTCAAAAGAGTGGTGTAGCGAAAAGAACTCCGAACCAGGAGTCAAAGGACCTCAGTTCAGAATCTGTGGCACTCACTAGCAGTGGGATTCTCCAGCAAGGGATTTAGCCCGCTCTGAGCCTCTTTTTTTCCTCTTTTGATGTGGAGATAATTAATGTCTATGCTACAGGTTACTTTAAAGATTAAATGCAATCTGTGAAGTTGCTTGGTATATTCAATTAATATTGGTTCAGACCCAAAATGATAGCCAAATATTTGTAAATTCTTTTCCCCCTATGTGTATTTTTGTCCTCTCTAAAATTATCTTGTTATAGTCTAACATTATATTTGCAAACGTTGTCTCATCAATTCTTGGAAGTGGGGAGAAACTCGAGAGCTTAAATCCTGACCAGGAGGCAATGTAAGAACATATGCTGAAATTTAGACTTTCAAAAGCTCTGAGTCATAAACTCTGATCACTGAAATGTCCTTACACAAGAGTCCTTGTGTGGGTTAGAAAGATTCCAGGAGCAGCATTATATTTCCTAGGAGGCAGGAATCAGTCCAGAATTGAGAGTTTAAGAAATTAGAAACTCTCCAGGCTGATCTAACTCTAAGACTAGAATCTGCAGATGCTAAACATCAAAGGAAACAGCCAAAGAAAGGAAAAGAAGCTTCAGACACCTTACATTAAAGTGTAAGATGGAAATAAACCATCTTATTCTGAGAATATTTTCAAAGAATTTGAGGAAAAAACGAAATTGACTTGTTGGATATTGCTGGCTACAGAGACAATAGAAACTCTGAATTATTATTCTTACTTGCAAGAAAAAAGCAAATACTACTTAATGTAATATAGGCATTGATATTGACAAGACAGATGTTTATCTAGATACAGTAAATATTTTAGTAAAATCACATCATTTTGATTTTGGGGTTTAACAAAATTTTCCTTTTTATTTTTGGTTGGTAGGGGAAAGACCCAGATGGAAAGATCAATGGGAAAGGGCAAAGGATTGGCTGGGATGGTTTCCAAGTAGCAGTGGATAGTAGCGGGCAGACAGTGGGTATGGGCAGACAGCAGCAGAATCTGGCATTGGGTAGCTCACTCTCTCTTTCTTGCTTTGCTCTTCCTCTCTTATTCCCTCTCTCTAATCTGTGATGATCCATTAAATAGAAAGATAAACATTTTTGCACTCCTTGCCCTCAACATTTTGTTTTGAGGCACCCGTGGGGAATACTTTTGACAAGTGGCTCCTAGGGATGTGTCCTGGAGTGTTACCTCCTAAGGATACCAGTTTGTTCTATGAGCATGCATAGGGTGGACTGATAGAACTTTTATTTTCCATTTCTTGGTCCTCCTGAGTGAGGGCAATGGGCCTCCTTAGAGTTAAACTGTGGGGGGTTGCCCCGAAGCTCTTAGAATCACAGTGGAAAGCAATTTGCAGCATGGAGAACTTCATGTTTGCTTAGCTATCTACTGTTCACTGTGTGTCAGGCGCCTTGCTGGGCATGGGCTTAAGAGGAAATAGAATGGCCCCAGTTCCTCACCTGAGGGCAGTGACAGGTATTTAGACGCTATTTCAGAGACTGGAAGAAAGCTGTGAGAGTAGACAGTGTGGGTAGCCGTCCTGGGCTGGGAGTTTGTCACTGAAGGCTTTACTCAAGGAGACAACCCCTCAAACTCAGGGTAGATGGGACTGGGCAGGTGAAGATGAGGATGGGGAAAGAACATAGAGGCAAAGAGAATGAATAATATGTGCAAAGGTGTTACAGTCTAAATGTTCAACCCAGCGGGTGTGAGGGTGTACAGCTCAGAAGAAAGTCAGCTGGGGCTTGTGAAGGGCCCTGTTGCAAGCTGGGTTTGGATTTTACCATTTACTCAACAGGGAACCAAAGAAGTTTTTAAACAGGCAAGTGAGATGACTAGATTCTCTGCTGAGGAAAGCAACTGTTGGTAGAATGAGGACACTGGAGACAGGAAGGCCAGTATAAAATTGAGAAAAATAGCAAGCCAAAATAAAACTGGTGTCCACACGAGTCTACCCAAAGCCCTAATTCATGAAATAGTTTTTCAAATCTCCATTTTTCAAGTTTAATCACAGATAAATCATGGTATGAAATTTATGTGAGAAGAATAAGGGTGATTTTTTTTCCTGTTCATTATTACTTCCGGTTAATTTCCCCTTCCATTAAAATAAGTACATCATTAGTTTTGCCTTTCAATCAGTTCTTATTCTCTGTAACTTAATTTGCATATTTTGGGTGGACAACCATTGTCTCTGGACTTGTCTTCACTGGCAGTATGAGTTGATCATACTTAAATAAAACACAAAGCAACTCAAAAAGCCTTAAGAATAAAGTGGAATGTCAGTCTCTTCTTGAAAGAGTCCTAACACCTGCAATTTCTTATAAAGCAATGTACATATTAAACTCTCTAATGTTCACCCTTTGTCATCTCTTTATCCCCTGTCAAGTTCCCCTCTTATTCCATACTAATGAATTTTCTATATTGTTGGTTTAGCCCAGATATACAACTGTATCTCCCAATCTCTTTTGCAGAAAAGTTTACTGGTCCAAGAGAAATAAGCAGGTGTGTTGTGGTGAGACTTTCAGAAAAGTATTTTATTATTTTTTTAAAGATTTTATTTATTTATTTTTAGAGAGAAGGGAAGGGAGGGAGAAGAGAGGGACAGAAACATCAGTGTGTGGTTGCCCCTCCCACACCCCATCCAGGGGACCTGGCCCGTAACCCAGGCATGTTCCCTGACTAAGAATTGAATTGGTGGCCTTTTGGTTCACAGGCTTGTGCTCAGTCCACTGAACTACACCAGCTGGGGCCAGAAAAGTACTTTAAAGGAGGATGAATTAGCCAGGGTGTGTGACCTTTGGTCCTTTCCTGCTTATTTTTTCTGATGTCTGGATCGTAGACTTGATGGTTGGAGCTGCAGTGATCATCTTGCAACTATGAGGGAATTTCAACGATAAAGATAGTTTTAAAGATGGTGCAGCAAAGCCCGGACTGTTGTGGCTCATTTGGTTAGGTGCTATCCTGCAAAACAAAGGGTGGCTGTTTTGATTCCAGGTCAGAGTGCATGCCTGGGTTGCTGGTTTGGCCCTGGCCCGGGCACATGCCAGAGGCTACCAGTGGTTTCTTACATTGATGCTTCTTTCCCTCCCTTTCTCCCTTCCTTCCCCTCTTTCTAAAAAACAAATAAATAAAATCTTTAAAAAATATAAAGAAAAAAATAAAGATGGTGCAGCAGAAAGATAACAGGAGCCTGATCCCTAAAGATGATGGAGTTATGATTTCAGCACTTAATTGTGTTCCTTTGGATTTCTTTAAACGAGAAATAGGTCTTTATCATATTAAATATCATATTTAAG